TCAATGAAGGATCAAGCGTAGGCGCTTATACGCTTGATCTGATTGTTCCTCCGAAGTTAACTTCGGAGATAACTCAGTTGCCAACGCTAGAACCGAAGCGGTTCTTGCGTGATCTGCGGAATGGCAAAGTCAAGCAGGTCTGTATACTCGTCGCAGAGGATGAGTATGTGACCGATATTCGGTCGGCAACAGTATTTGCCGAGAACGAACGGGTTCTCAGCAGCTCATCGATGGACGAAAGTGTACTCGATGAGAAGACTCGGATTGAGCGATACACGTCTCAATCCTGGGAGTCTCTTCGAACAAATCATTTGTATAAGGATTTGATCGAATTCAAGGATGTGTTCCCTGAATCCGTACCGTGCGAAATGCCTAAGGAAAAAGGCACTCGACACGAGATCGAGCTCAAACCGGGCTCGAAGTACTTTGTCATGAAGCAGTGGCCACTGCCTCGTGAACAAGTACTAGCGATCGACAAGTTCTTTGCCGACAGCTTAGCAACGGGCCATGTGAGGGAATCAACATCCCCTCACAGCTCTCCGACCTTCTGTGTGCGAAAGGCCACAGGAGGGTGGCGGATAGTGCACGCATTCAACAAATTGAAAGCTGCAACGGTACCGGCTCAGACGCCGATACCGAGGAAGGACGTAATCATAGATGGTATGTCAAAGAGTACCATCTTTTCGTCCATGGATCTGATGGATGGGTTCTATCAGATCCTGATGCGTGAACGGGACGTCCCGTTCACGGCAGTGAGTACCCCCAGCGGGATGCTGTGGGAGTGGCTAGTGATGCCACAGGGGCTGAGTAATGCCCCTGCAACATTCAACAGATGTGTAACAAATCTGTTGAGACCGGTGCGAGACTTCGCACCGAGTTACTTCGACGATGTGTTCGTCCATAGCCGGGCTATGGACGGAAAGACGGACGTTGAAGTTCTCAGAACTCACGTTGTTCAGGTTCTTCAACCTATGCGCAAGCATAAGCTGTACGCCAACCTCAAGAAGTGTATATTCGCGGCTAGCGAAATACCACTTCTTGGGTGCATCGTGAGTAAACACGGCGTACGCCTCGATCCTGAGAAGATCAAGGCGATCACCGACTGGTCTGTGCCAGTCGATGTCAAGGGACTTCCGATATCCTCGCTTCACTGGGAAGTTTTCAAATTCCATCTTCAAGGTAATCGGTACACGTTTAGACATGTCCACAGCGGCTCATCCGCAGACTGATGGTCAAACCGAGCGAGTGAATCGCATCATCAGTGACATCTTGCGCAGTGTTTGCGCTGAAACCCTTAGCGTTGGAGTTCGATGCTCCCTGTCGTTGAGTTTGCGTTGAATAACGCCGTGCATGCCTCCGCCGGCTACACACCATTTTATGTGAATGGTCTCACACACCCTCGCGTTCCATTAACGCTACCACTACGTGGTTCAGGGCTTGGTGGGGGAGGAGTTGACGATCGTCTTGCTGATATCATCCCTTCTACAGTTCAAAAACAGGTAAGCGAGTTTCTCGCAACGCGATTGAATGTATTACGACATGTGCGTGACGCACCGGCTGATGGCCAAGACAAGCAGAAGGAACAAGCTGATGCTAAAGGCAGAGATTGTATTGAACGTTATGAGGTCGGAGACCAAGTTCTATTCAATGCTAAAAACCTATCTACAAATGTAGTGTCTGCTGTCTTCAAGACAAAGTTGCGCCCGCGCTTCATTGGACCATTCACGGTCGCCACCAAGAAGGGACTTGCGTATATGCTCAACCTTCCGCGCAAATTTGCGCACGCACTCAGTTTTCTACGTTGTTTTGCTTAAGCCGTATCGGGATCCGTCCCACGTGAATTCGAAGGCGCTTGCGCCGGGTAGGTTGGCCTTGCCATCGGTTACTGAATCCGTATCAGGAGGTCAAGCTGAGCCTCCATCCGGGCTTGGCCCAACTCCAACGCCTGGACACGGGCTCGCATCGCGTCAAACGCACTCTGGGTATTATCTAATGTATCACATAGACCACTCATCTCGAGAAGCACCTTCTCATGCTCCTCCTTCGGTATACCGACCACCTCCGACGCTGCTCGATGAGCAAGGGAACCGCCAGTTCCATGTGGAGCGACTCCTGAAACGACGTCGTCGTCAGGGTCAATACCGGTATCTGGTGAAGTGGCGAGGGTACCCGGAGTTGGAGATCTCGTGGTAGTTTGAGACGCCCCTGCGACAGGATTTCCCATACGCCGTTGATGTTTTTAAACATCGTGACAGGGGTCATCCATCGACTGAGAGCGCTTCTCACAAATAGTGGTGGAGGCAGGTGGGTAGTTGGGCACCGCTTGACCTACACCCACATCAATCGGCACAGCCGGAGCATAGCGTGTGCGAGTTCGCAACTGGCCTCTGGCCTTAAGCTTGGCGTAATCATACCGAAGATTTCGTTCTAGACAAATATCTGCCATATCGACACTTGCTCTGAGAGCTAATACGATGCTGAGGTGTCGTTTCCGATGCACCCAGCGAACAAACGCGTTTTCTTCTGCCTCCTGTGATTCGCCTGCGAATAAGAGGACAGGGTAACCCTTCATCGATGGAACCTGTGCATCCCGTGCTTGCTTGTCAAGTCGCAACTGGTATCGACTATGAGTCGTCAAGCAAGGTTGCAGGAACCTCTCACAAAGTGCCTGTCGACTCGCCACCTCATCAGAAGATGATGTCCCAGCGCCAATGGCCCACGTTGCCAAAGGACGACCTGTCGTTTGGCGTAGACGCTCTTCCACACCGAGTGGGGTGAAAAGATAGCCACGACGACCCTTAAGGGTTGCAGAAAGCTGCATACGGCGCTGAGCTCTCTCCTCTTGTTGGATAGCCAACTGTTGTTGCTCATCGAGCGGATTGGTGATGATGGCATCGCCCACGATGGGTGTTTGATGCGGCGCCGATGGCGCGTTGGCATCGCCAAGCTCGGCATATGGATTTGGTACAGTATGAGGCGGTGCCTCTTGCACTGGTGATTCGGACATTGTCCTCTCTTCACCATGGATATCGGTATCGATGCCATAATCCACATCCACATTGATGCCAAGGTAGAAAGACAGAGTCGAGGACTCATGGGGTGGCGATGCCATGGTGTTTTGTGTTTTGCCAACCGTAAGGTTGAAGCGCACACACCGTCCTCTTCGAGATAAAATTCGATTTACGTTTTGTGAGAACGTCAGTCTGGTGAGGGGGGGTAACATGGTTACACGCGACTGGTAGTCGACAATAGGTGTGGTACACACAAGGGATGTGATCCCCTTTAAAGTGATAATAGAACACAGTATCAATTGTTGAAGACTGATGTCTGTCAACCATCAATTACGAGATCTTTGAAGAGGTTTGTTTAGTACATTAGCGAGTAGATTAATTACTTTGTTATAAGGTGTTCTTTTAGGTTAAAAGAAGAAATAAAGTTCAGTTCCCATTTTGATCAACATAAGGCACGTGCCTTACGATGCGTCTTGATCGGAAGAGCTAGCAACGCCTGCAAAGGTACCTGCTCTTGAGCACTCTGTGCTGTGATTCTCTTGAATCGTTTATCCCCTGGAACAGGTACCGTAAGCTCTCTAGGCTTGTTGACTCTCTGAGTCGGGTTCGTAGAACCCAGTTGCTCGTAGAGCGTTAAGTCTTCCTCTGACTTAAGGAGCTGTGGAGCTCCGCTACAGCGTAAGCACGAAGATATATGTATCGAGTTGCAATCAAGTGATGACATAGACTGAAATGCTGCTCATACGCGTATGAGCTAGCGACATCGTGTCTCGACGTAATACCAAGAGCTTCGTCTTCATATTAAGCTTCGGATGCAATTTGACGAGCAATATACAATGGACGGTGGCGCTACTATAACGAAAGCAGAGTACATGACGCTATCGGAGACGACACATGAGGATTGTGGATTACGATGTTTGAAGGCAAGCTTGATGAAAAGATAGACGGTGCAACAGTCGAGACGAATGTGTACGACCAGGGATCCGTCGAATTGACTGGAAATCCCGAGTGTTACAAACGCACTGAGGGCATCGGCATTCGCTGCCATATTACGTGAGAAATTGGCTATAAAAACTGATCTTCCAAGTGTAATGGAGTAACCCCATCGCATGAATTTTACATTACCAAATGTCAATTTTACGTTCATCTATTTAATATTTTCTTCGGTTCTAATTTAGAGGTGAAAAATTAATAGTGACATCTGCTCATTGTAATACAGGCCATTGCATCAACCAACAAAGAGTCTGATCGACGATTGACGTGCAAAAACGGGTGACGAATAGATAGTTCCGATTTGTCTTTGTATCGATTGAAAACGGTGAGGTTTTACATATTTATTCACAAGGTCAACATATAAGGTTTTCTTTTTACCTTCGACTAACGTACTCTCGTACGTCTAATCCCTTCCGTTGCACGTACTTGTACATGAAAATTTGAGACACCTGCCTACACTGTTGTCAGAGTGACAAAGCTTACACTGATGCAGTATGGGCGAGGTGCCTCGTTTCAAGAATACTGCTTGACCAAGGACATGACGGCCGGCCTGATGACCAAGCCGTCCTTGTCGTGGACCTAACATCTTCGGAGAATGTTGAGGGTCAGGAACGCATGTTGAGGTCAGGAAAGCATGTTGCCGAAAGTTGTATCGAAGTATCATCACGACTCTTCATACGACAAACTCAACATTGCATTGTCGATTGGTGATGGTTGTAGGGTAACATCAACATTGCACGATCGGACGATTAGCATGATTGTAGGTACGTTAGGGTTGCCCAATCAGACGATTAGTACGGTTGTGGGTAATACTCATACCGCACAACTAGACGATGTACTTGTTGTAGGCTACCTTCGCGACGAGCGACCAGACATTGTGTAGTCGTCGAAAATTCAGTGAGCTTAGTGTAGCGGAAAGATTTGCGAGGAAAACATATATCAAGTCACTTCGCATTTCTCCGTCAACTGCTTCATCGCCTTGATTTTTGGTACGCAATGGCGAATGTAGCGGAGCGCCGGATGCACGCAGAAATCCACAGCTCATTGGCAAGCGAAGTCGTTGAGACGTCGAACCGGAGCGCGCTGCTCCGTGATTGGGTCGAAGAGCGCGTGCAGGAGAATCACCCGCGCCCAGGCGTGCACAATGTCGGGACCCTCGTGCGCAATTGGGATGAAGACTGGGTGGGCCCGAGCTTGGACGAAGAAGAGGCGCGTCGGCTGTGGTATACGCCCGTGTTTTGTCCGCTTCCACTGGACTTCTCAAATTTCGGGTACCGCCTCAGATGTGTGGAGACGGGACGACGGCCTCGTCTGATGGTGTGCATCACCATGTACAACGAAGAGCCAGAGCAGCTACAAGCGACGCTGACGAAACTCGCGAACAACTTGGCCTATCTGAAAGAACAGCAGCTGACGGAGCCGTTGTCACGCAAGAGCAATCCTCACGCACTAACGGGGCCGTTTGCTGGCGACAATGTGTGGCAGAACGTGCTCATTTGTATCGTCGCCGACGGCCGCGGGCAGGTCAATGGCAAGATGCTCGAGTACTTGGAGTCTATCGGCTTGTACGATGAAGACCTCTTGACCATCAATAGCGCCGGCATTGACACGCAATGTCATTTGTTCGAGCACACGCTGCAGCTCTCGGTGGATGGCAAGTGTCTCTTGCCTCTTCAGACGGTGTTCGCTCTCAAGGAGCACAAGTCGAGCAAACTGGACTCGCACCGGTGGTACTTTGACGCGCTCGCCGAGCAGGTGCAGCCGGAGTATACGGCTGTGATGGACGTTGGCACGATGTTGACGAAGTCTGCGCTCTATCACGTGCTCTTTGCGATGGAGCGCAATCAACAGATTGGTGGAGCTTGTGGACATCTGACGGTGGACGAAGCGTTCGAAAATCTGAGCAATTGGGTCGTTTCAGCGCAGCATTTCGAGTACAAGATCTCGAATATCCTGGACAAGTCGCTGGAGAGTTGTTTTGGCTTCATTAGTGTGTTACCAGGAGCGTTCTCTGCTTATCGCTACGAAGCTATTCGAGGAGCTCCACTGGATGCGTATTTTCTGCCGCTTAACGTTGATTTGGATGTTCTGGGACCTTTTCTCGGCAACATGTACCTCGCTGAAGACAGAATCTTGTCGTTTGAAGTTGTGGCACGGAAAGACTGCAGCTGGACGATGCACTACGTCAAGGACGCGGTCGCTCGTACAGACGTCCCGCACAATCTTGTCGGCCTGATCTCGCAGCGGAAGCGCTGGCTCAATGGCGCGTTCTTCGCCACGCTCTTCTGCATTCGGAATTGGGGTCGTATCTACTCGGAGAGCTCACATTCGTTCCCGAGGAAGATGGCGTTCCTGGCGTTGTATCTATATCATCTGATGCACACAGTGTTCGGCTTCTTCCTGCCAGCGACTTTGTACCTGGCGTTGTTCCTCATTGTGTTCCAGGGCTTTCAGCAAAACCGTCTCGGGTTTGTCGACACTTCGGGGTATTCTCAGACTGTACTGGACGGTGCAGTGTACTTGTACAACTTCGTCTACCTATTTGGTCTGCTGATGCTCATCATTATTGGGATGGGCAACAACCCAGAGCACATGAAGTTCACGTACTATTTCCTAGGTGCTGTGTTCGGCGGCTTGATGATGCTCTCGTCGCTTGTGGGCCTCGCCATCTTTTTTACATCACCGGCTACTGCCGGATCGATCGTCGTGTTGATCCTTGCAGTGGGCGTGTACTTCGTTGGCCCAGCTCTTCACGGCGAGGTGCACCACATCTTCATGACGGCTCCGCAGTACATGGTCTTGATCCCAACCTTCCTGAACATTGCGACCGTTTATTCGTTTTGCAACTTGCACGATTTGTCGTGGGGCACGAAAGGCCTGCATGACTTGTCCTGGAGCACGAAAGACCAGCACAACGATCCACTGCTGGTCTTACTGGATGAGACGAAAAAGGGGGACTTGGAGGGCGCGATTGCCAAGCGCCGTGCAATGGAAGAGAGCCGTCGCAAGGAGAAAGTGCGTTCGGAGAACACGAAGAAGAGGTTTGAAGCGTTTCGCACCAAGATCCTCCTCACCTGGGCGCTCTCCAACCTCGTTTTCGCGCTCGTCATCGTGTACTTCACCATTTCGTCGACGTACTTGCACGCGCTATTCATTTGCGCAGCCGGCATCAACTCATGCCGACTGCTCGGGTGTTTCGGTCACTTGGTTTACATGCACGTGATTCGTCTGCGTGATCGTATTTTTGACAAGACCGAGTATGAGAACGGCACTGGGCGGTACGCACAGGACTCGTACGTGCAGCTTGATGAGCACTATGCTGCCCTTACAGAGGACCAGCGCGTTTCCTCTGCTGGACGTATCAATATGTCCGCGCGTAGCAATCATGGCGTTTTCTCGGCCGCGTAATGGAGCACAGTACTACTCAAATGAGTTCGCTGCGATCGCATGCAGATCCGCTACAGGTCGTCGTTACCACTGGCGTCGTCCTCTATAGCGCTAGATGGGGTTAAGCATCCATCTGCCGATACTATAATACAGCAAAGTGCAGCACGCCGCTTACCGCTAGTGAAGTGGGCGAGTAAGTCGGACATTCGAGAGTTTCATTAAGTCTTATGTAGATGTTAATGCATACTTCTAAAGACATCCATGCGTTTTCAGCGCAATACAACGGGATCATACATCTCATGGTCGTATAGATTTGGATTTATTGACAATGGCGTAGACAAAGGTGGTCAGTTGCCTTTTTGGTCCTCAGTAGACAATGACGTCGTTTGCAGATTTGCAGTAGAGTGTTCATAGGTTGTAAGAAAGACCCGGCGTATGCATGTCAAGTCTACTACGCTTGATCCTGACAAGATTGCAACGTTTGCTTCGCTACGAAGTGGTACCACGGGCATGACAGCGACGTCCTGCCACGTGCTCTTAGCAGAGGAAACTGTGTGCTTGCAGCGCAAAGAATAACTGCCATGTTTGAAAACACGCGAGCAGGCAGAGCCGAAGGTAAAAATATGTAAGAAGACGCAACACGCCGACTCAATTGACATCACGCGAGTGAAACCTAGCTCTGGAGCGTAAGCTCGACAAAAGATGCTGAAAACAGCAAGATTCGTAATAGCGTGAGCTTGCTCCAGGTTCAGCACATCATCCAGCCACTTTCTAAGCTTCTCCGTTTCAACCGGAGTTGTGCGTGCTGGTTCTGACGAGGAAAGTGGAGGCGGAGGAGTTCGTTGAACCCCGCTGGGTCTTATTGACGCACTGAGATGGAGCAAAAGTCGAGCTCGTCGTCGTGATGTGCAGCTTTCAATAGAGCTGGAGCCACCGCACTCGGTCCATCACCAGTAACATCTTGATCGGACCCACTACAATGGTCCAGCGACTCAAATGGAAAGTCAGTCTACGGCAATAAAATCACCGCAACAAAAGTCAGCGCACGAGAATGCAATGGAGGACGTCATTAGCAGCTGAACTGACTCACACATTATTTAGGGTCGATCCGGTAGCGAATGTCTGGAGACACAAGCTCCAATTGCGAGGCGATCCAGTCCAAATTCTATACAGCAATGCAACAAGTACATCAAAGAGCATGGACAAACACAGAAAGAAAGAAAAATCATAACGACCTCGTGTTGCACAGAGGAGCCACAAAAGATGCACCGAGCAGTTCTGTTACCAGCACTCCAACAGTTCCAACGTCGTCTGCACTGTCGTCTTTCTGCTCCCACTTCTCCATCCGCGACTCCGAAGTGTCCGGACGGTACTGACCCCGTCGTGTCTCGGTAGTTCTGCTCCGATGCAAAGAACTGCGTGCGCTCGCTTTCAAACGCGTGATCTGCCACTTGCTCAACGCCTTGCGTCTCTTCGAAGCGATAGGCATGCGAGCCGAGATTGCTCAAGTGTCGAGCACGATTCCGTTCACGTGGGCGAGAAAGGTCCCTCCCGCTATTGCTATTGACCCCACGTCCACGCGACGAGCGATACCTACTTGAGGCGTCCCCATGAAAAGGCACGAACGAGACTGAAAGGGCTAAGCGTCTTTTCCAGGTGCTGATGATGATTCTGATCTCTGGATGTCGACGTTATCAAGTACGACTTTACGCTTAGATAGAACGTAACTGCAGAAAATATGACGAGCGATACTGATTCCATTCGAATCGACTTTATTAGCCCTTGTTTACCGGTAAATAAGTAGTAATCTTGCACTACTGCTGGCTGCCAAACTGAATGGAGTAAGCCCGTTACACGTCAATGATTTTCAGTATATCAATGTTGATATTTTCATACTTGATGAACGCGTCAATATCACCTGGCTGAGCAATTATGGTTGGCTTATTACCGATAGAACTTAACATATTTGAAGTAAATCCAATTAGAATAAATCCTACATGACTTATTGAACTATAAGCTAATAATCTTTTAATTTTTTTTGTTGTAAAGCTGATAATGCTCCAATTAACATTGAAAAAAATGAGATAATATAAAAAAATAATTCAAAAAATAAGAAATATGAGAAAAAACATCAAAAAATAAACGAATTAAAATACCTATAAAAGACCCTCCGCTTATTGGTTGATATAGACCATGCTAACAACCAAAATAACCACCAGTTGCTGCTAGACACGCGCAATGGGTGGCGGGCGAGAAAAATTTCTGAGGAGACTACAGCTCGATGTAGTTGGACTAAAACAAGGAAGGTGGATAGCACAAAAGATAACTACAAATATACAGTTTTGTATTTCACCCAACTTTAAGCATCCTTATCTCAGCTCTCTCCCTCGCGCTTCCTTTACGCTCAAGTGTATGTGACTTCTGGGACATGCATCCTTGTATTGAAAGACATATTAGCGCTTAACAGTAATAGGTAAGAAGTGTGCCACGTTACACCTGGTTGCACTTGTTGGTCCGTTCAGCGACCACGATCGCTTATCCAAAATGAGCATGTTGGATAAGGTGGAAATGCTCTCACGTCACGCGTGAGACTTCATACATTTAAGAGACATCGAATACTGTTTCGTAGAACGAATGAGTTCTTCCGTTGGCGATACCTTCATTATTCCTATACAAAAGACTCGTGATAGAGACCAGTACTATGCCGCTTTACCAAGGTAATTCAAAATAAACTTGTCGCCGAACATTAAAAGTAGCCTTGCTTCATCAGCAAGGCTCTCAATAGGCCGAGCATCAACAGACAGAGTGGATCAGACAGCAGCAATATAAATGCTGCTGTGGGCGGGTCGACGTAGACCCGTCTTCCCGACACCTTGGCTATTGATATATCTAAGTACAGATTAGAATATGAAAATTTGCTGTTGAGATGTTTCGTTGAGATAGGCGAAACCATCAGGGCTCGTGTAACAGGGGTATCCCGTTACATGAAATTTATATTGTGCGAAATGGTAACAAAGATTACTATGTTAAACATTCTTTTTACAATATCACTCAATACAGTGATATTGTTGAGATGACCCAAAAGTCTACTCATTGGTTGATATTGTGATTACAGCGTCCCACCAATCTCTGCTAGACGCGCGCAATGGGTGCTGAGTAGACGTCATCATACGTTAAGTTTAATTTATATAATTAAGTCAGGTCACAACAGAGAAAATAAGTTATATGACTTAATTGTATTAAATAACAGATTTACTTTTTTACAACTAGAGTCTTGCCTTAGTTGTTTACCCTTCCTCTATAGAGTGTCTATACCTAGCAGGGCACAGGCCTTCACTGTTGTCAGTGAAATTTAAATCTGTAATGAAATCCAGTACGAAGTAAGCAGTACCCGTTACAGCTCGCGCGTCGTCGAAGATGAGATACAAGTTGCTTTTGCCCGGTCCTACGTGGCTGGATGTGCGAATCCTTCATGTGTAACATTTCATTTAACGATGGGTTACACCTCATCGCCACATACAAAGGAAATGTTTATTCGAGGCCTAGTGAATTGTGGGACATCAAACAAATATATTCTTTTTATGTCGCTTAGGTATCCTAGACTTAATTTCGTTGATCGAGAGATCTCTCGAGCGAGAATGACGATGCCCTTGCAAGAGGAGCTTTGATAATAAGTAATAAATGTGTTGTAGCAATACACCATAAAAATTTAGAATACGCATTGTTTGATGATGGTTTTGTCGTACACTATATTAAAGATTAATGTAAAACCTTTTAAGTTCAACCTCGGATCAGACGGTACGAGCCAAGACGGAGCTGGAAGTATCAATTCATAAAGATGCCTGCCGCTTGTTCATCAGATGGCCATCTGATGAAATTCTTGAAGCTTTCACAAGCGCGCGGGTGTTTGTACGAGTATATGTGGTGGTCTTGATTGATGTATTTTCTTTGTAGCACGACGGCAGGATACCTCAATATGTCTCGATATTACACTGTGGAGAAAGCTTTTTGGGGCTGTGCAGATGCATATCTATCGCCGAAGGTCCAGCAATCGAATGAGTACATTGGGCAGGGATATGGATGCATGCCCGTGCGAGAAGCATCTATAGAAAAGTGTACGTGGGGCACAAAAATTAAATAAGGTAATCCTGGTTTGATTGGAGATTCGAAAAGAAAACAACCTAGCTCTATTAATTCAACCAGATCCAGGGGATGTCGAGATAAATAGTCCTCGTCTAAATGAGAAAAGTATCTAAAGCTATACTAGACGAGGAATCCTGTTCCTAGCAACACGAGAGATAATACCCGCAGCCGATTGTGGAGACAAATTACTAGTAATGAAGCGAGGAATTTATTCTTCGTAAACGTATCATACGGCATAAGTGCTTTTATCCTTGATCTGATAGAGCATCCGAGCCTAACTTTGGAAATAGGGCAATAGTCAATGTATAAAGAAAAACGATTATTATGGATCTCCGTTGTGGTTAAGTTAAGAAAGTGTGCGCTCTCTTCACAACGTGAGGGTACGTGGCCGATAATAGGTCACCATATATATATATATATATTTGCTGAAAATGAACGAACTAATAGCAGCAAATTGATGAACAGAAATGTCTTCGATGAGATAAATTGGATTGCGCGATACACGTCTCAATTTCGCTTGTCGCTTCAGGCCAATACTTTGTTTGGAAATCCAATATATTAATAGCTGTATTTCCTGAATCAGAACCGTGCGGGAAGCCTAAGGATAAAGGTACTCAATACAAAATCAATCTCAAACTATCTCAAATAACGGTGTCATAAAGTAGCTCACTGCCTCGAGAAGAAGAAGTAGCAGTCGACAAGTTCTTGCGCGAACGTCATGCATCGAAACATGTAAGATAATAAACCTCACCAATTTATTCTCCATCTCTTTGCGTGCGTAAAACCACTGGAAGACGATGGATGGTGCATGCTTCAACAACATTAATGATACTGCAAAACCGACGAAACGCCGACACCGTGGGCGGACGTCATATTTG